GATGAGCCCTACAGGACCAGTGGTGTGAGTGGCGAAACAGGGAGGGGAGAGGGAGAGTGGGTAGGAAAGAGGGAACCGGTTACAAAGAACTATATATGTGACCTCCTCCCTGGGGGATGGACAACCGAAAAGTGGGTGAAGGGAGACGTCGGACAGGGCAAGATATGGCAAAATAACAATTTATAAACTATCAAGGGCTTATGAGGGAGGGAGGAGCGGGGAGGAAGGGGGGAAATGAGAACCTAATGCCAGGGATTTAAGTGGAGAGAAAATGTTTTGAGAATGATTAGGGCAATGAATGTACAAATGCGCTTTACACAATTTATGTGTGTATGGATTGTGATAAGAGTTGTATGAGCCTCTAATAAAATGATTTAAAAAAAGAAACAATGGAAAACTAAATAATTGACTCTGAGGCCCAAAATTTACACTTATAAATTCAGTATGGAGGTTTTTAGCCTTCTCACTTTCTCATGTCACTGTCTCAGATACGCAATAATCACCTACTTGTTCTGATTTATCCAAATTAATAGTAACTTTCAACCTCTTCCATGGTGTGAGTTGTTTCTGGTTAATGATTTCACACCTTTCACTACATTGGCTGCTTTGATAACACCTCCCCCCACACACAAAATGTTGATAATGTCGACTTAGCCATGTGGTATTCACCCACCAAATCAGACAAGTGGCAACCTCATTCAAATGTCGCACTGATTTCTTTCTTTATCTCTATTGTGGCGCTCACAGTTTTCTCTTAGCCTTACTGCGGGCACCACTACTTTTCTTAAGAGCCATGGTTGTGATATTTTATGAAAACAAAGTACACAAAAAGCACAATGACGAATATTTTGTGCACTAACACAAGCACAGTAAGTTGTCTGAGCAAGAGCAGCGCTTAGACCGAAGTGTCACCTCTTTGTGTTCCTGGCAGGACTTGACTCAACTCCTGACTCACTCTGGGCTCATGCAGGTTTTTTCAAGTTAGATTTTTGGTTCCACTACCAAGTAAGGTTACAAAATCCGAGCAGATTTTTTTAAATTTTGCTGTTGGAATAGTGGAAAGTTCGAGATTGGAGCCATCCCACAACCGAGGTATCACTGTAGTTCTCTGTCTACACAGTTACATAGAAGGGGGTAGTCCCCAGAAAATCCAAGCTCATTTGATTTTTTGATGTGAGGGGGATAGTGCATTTGTTGTTTGTTCTACCAGGTCAGACTATTAATCAAGCTTTCTATTCAGAGGTTCTCAAAAGATTGTGTAGCAGTGTGTGACAAAAAAGGCCTGACTGGGGACTGGTTTTGCCATCATGACAATGCATTGGCTCACACAGCCATCTCAGTGTGCCAGTTTTTGGCAAAACCCAGCATGCCTCTCTTGTCCCATGCTCCTTACTCCCCTGACCTCATTTCGTGCGACTTCTTGTTTTGATGACATAGAAGAGGCGAAGAAAAAAATCAAGGGAGGTGCTGTCAGCCATCTAAACATATGAATTTGAAAAATGTTTCCAAGAACAGAGTGGCAAATTTGACAAATGTATTATGTGTAAGTGAGAGTACTTTGAAGGTGATAAAGTTGTTTTGTAAAAAAATTTGAATACATAGCTTTGGGGAAAAAATTTGTTTTTTTAGGGGAGTACCCCCTCATATATATATGTACTTGATGCTATTAATAACTGTAATTACTATAGTAGTACAGCTCTCCTATAAATCAGTCAATTGTTCAGGCTTTCAGACAGAATTCACTAGCAACTAGCTGTATCCCCAACATTACCAACATCCTAGTACACATAACCTTCCATACTGTTTTTCATTTCTACAGCACAGATTCTTAGAAATCGGACATGAGGATATGCACATTTTAAACTTATAATAAATATCTCACTTTAATCTTTATTTATAGACCTCCTAGTGAAAGGTATTTTTTAAATGTTTACTGGCCACATACAATTCCTGTTGTGCATAACTGGACATTTATTTTGGCAATTTTATACTGGGTTGTCTTTTTCTTATTGATTTATATAAGGTTTTTTCTTTTTTTGTTTTTTTCTTAATAAAAGTAATTTTGTTACACATATTAAACATATTTCCCCTCCAAGATTATGTATTTTTTTCTTAATAAAAGTAATTTTGTTACACATATTAAATATATTTCCTCCAAGTTTGTGTATTTTGCCTTTGTTTGTGATGTTTTTTGCCATCATTGTAATTGAGAACGCTAGTAAACCAGTATGCTTCAAGGCTTTTATATTTTAGTTAACATGGTTCCCAATCAGAAGCTGGACAAATAGTTTCCTAGAATTCTTTCTACTATTTTTATGGTTTTTGACATATAGCCCTTCAACTTATTGTGTTGCTTTTGTCCCTTTGTGTATTAGCATGAGATACAGTTTATTCAGCCACCCTGTAAGAACTAACACAGCAAACTATCTACCTTCTCAAAGAGTTGCCTTAAAAAACAAAATTGCAGGTATCTGTGGACAGTGGGATTATGGATGATGTTTAGGTTTTTCGATTATTTGTATTTCTAAGTTTTCTATATTTAATATATTCATGCCATTAAAAAAAGGCAATACCATCAGTGTATTGAAACCTATGGTTTCAAGGAACAGCTTAATTACCCATTGACACCTTAGCTTGCATGATTCCTAAGTCAGATATGAGTAAGAACAGGAAACAGTAAAAACAAAATACCACCCACATGAACAGAACAATTTAGAACCTACAAAAGACAGTTTGTGGGAAGGTTAGAAAATGGGAAGTGGTATAATATCTGAGTATTGATTATCTTATGTTCATTATCTCTCTTATTTCCCCCAGAACCAGTAAGATAGAACATTGCTACTCTCAATTCAGAGGGCTAAGCATGGGTGGGGACAGATCAATATCTTGCACAGGTCATGCAATCAGTTGCTGGTGGAGTTGGAACTTGAACTTACTGTCGTAAGCCGTGATATAGACTACTTCATTTACTCTTCATAATGACCTTAGAACAAGTATTATTTTTGCAAACAGTTTTGAAAACAAGGAACTAAAGCATAGAGAGGTTCAGTTCCCTGTCCCAAACTCCTAGTAAGTGGTCAACTGAGATCTGCACCCCAGTTTGCTCCAGAGTCCAGCATCTTCACTACTGCACATCGCTGCCCCAAACCCCTGTGCCTTTGACTACACTGAACTGCCTTTCCTATCCCTTTGCATCCTAGAATGGAAAAAACACACATAGGGAGAAGGGGGGCAGTGGGTGGGACATGGCACTCCAAATCATCACTAATTCAGACTCTACGCATATTAAAATAAAATAATATATCCCATCATACTCAACAATTTATCAGTTTTCACACATTTTAATCTCAAATAATCCTCCGAGATGACCCCATATGGAAATGATTAAAAACAGGTTTGAAACAAGGTTATTTTTTCTTAACTCTCACATGTGCAGTTTTCAGTGGTAGTAGGCCACCTCCATGTGCAGTGGAAAACTATCCCCTCATTCTGCCAAATGCCAGCTTACCTAAACGAGCCCTTGTCCTGGGTCCCTGCATCTGACTTCGCAACTCGGGCCGCAGATGAAACTTCTTTGCTTCATCAACTAGGTCCCTGCATTGTAAACTACAGCGGATGAAAGGCTGAAATACAGCAGAGAACAGAGTGAACCACAGGAGCCTCCTCTAATGCTAATTAGAGGGCAAATGACACTATAATTCACTTCTTAATGTAATATATAAAACTAGTTTCTAAAACCCTGTGGTCTCAGAAGGGCTGCTGGTAATGGCTGTCCTTCCAGAAGTAGTTTTATTTTATTTTTTAATTTTTAAAAATTATTAATCATTTTATTGGAGGGCTCTTACAAGTCTTATAACGATCACCATTCAACTGTATTAAGCAGACTTGTACCTATGTCGCCATCAACATTCCCAAAACATTTTCTTTCTACTGAGCAGCCCTTGGTATCAGCTCCTCATTTTTCCCCTCCCAACCCCCCTTCCACCCTTGTAATTCTTGATCAGTTATATATTATTATTGTTATTTCATGTCTCACACTGTCCGTTGTCTCCCCTCACCCACATTTCTGTTATTCATCCCCCTCGGAAAGGGGGGAGGCGCTATATATTCAACCCTGTGATGGATTCCTTTCTCCCCTTTCCCCATGCCCCCCAAATAGTTTTTAAATTGATTTTAATTAAAATATATATATTTTACATAGTTCAAAAATAAAATGGTATAGAAAGATAAATTTAAGATGCTTCACTCCTAGCCCTACTTCCACCTACCCTGGCACTTACAGGCAATCACATTTATCAGTTTGTTTGAAGATCCTTCTGCTACGTGTGCAAACAGGATATAAGAAAAACTAAGAATTTTAAGAGGGAAGCCAATAGGCTTCTGTTATTTTCTGAGATGATGACGACGGAATACTTGCCTGAGGTATTTTCTCCAAGGCTTATGGCAGTACCATAGCCTCTGTGTATTCCTGAGAGAGGTCTGTTTGGGATCCTTCACTTACCCTGTCCCGTACCACTGTCTTGATGGAAAGACTGTCCTGTATGAACTCAATAAAGGATACCAATGACAAGATCGATGTCCCACACCCCTAGCTTCTTGTTGGGCTCAGCCCTCGGGAAGGGGACTGATGTCAGGTCTTTATTCCCCCGTCTCTCTCACTGCAAAGCTGGCTGTATCCCTCAACCCAAGGCCACAGCTCCTCAAAAGGTCCTGACTCTACTGAACTTACTTTCCTTCCATGTTCTGATAACCAGCCCTTGACCTTGGTCCCTTCAGGTTTGGGGTGGCTAACAGTTTGGTGGTACTAGCTCCAGGTTACTTTACAGCCTTTTACTGTTCCCCTAACTTGCAGCTTTGTAAACAGCTCCTGTCTATATAATCACTCCTTAAACTGTTTTGGCGTATGCCACCTGGGACAGGACTGATAAAAGCTCTCGTGACAAAGTACATTTATTGTCCTAACCCCAGAAGTTTCCACTACGCATCCAAAAGAAAACAAACAATGGTAGTAGCAAATACCTATGCACAACTTGTACATTAACTTATTTACAACAACCTATAAAGTGGGCAACTCCTACTACATCCAATTTATAAATAAGGTGGCTGAGGCACAAGTAAATTAAGCGACCTGCCTAAGGTTCTCACAGTTTCAGTGCTGAATCTGGGGTTTTAGTTCCTGAGTTCGACTCCCGAGTGTATACTCTTAACCACTATGTACAGAATTAGACATAACATAGATGTGGAGGGGTTACCAGAATGAAGCTACAGATAAGAAGCAAGGGGAGCTTAAGATGCTACACTAACCAAAAACCTGTATTTATGGTAACTCCCAAAGAGATCTGGAGTTCAGCTCCCAGGAAAAACTCATTCATAAGCTTGAACCTTATCTATATCCTATTAGTGTTGCCTCAAAGTACAGTGCAGGTAGTCGAGTATGGTCCAGGTAATATAGGTCGTACAAATGATAATAAAATGTGAAAATACATAGTAGCAACTTCAGTTGGAGAAGCGCTTCAAAAACCCCCCTCAAATTTGTGTAATCAAAACTGGCATTAAAATGCATTAAATGGTTTCCATGCTGATTTCACCAAAGGTTCAAACACAAGGAAGGTTTGTTGCTAAGCAATACATTGTTGTCTTGTTGTGTTATTTTTGTGTGTGGCATTCAGAACACTTTACGTTTACTGGAGAAGGAACAAAGTTCACCATCTGATGTTGGTTATGTAAAATACTTAGGAGCATGTTTTTTTAAAAAAAAATAAATTAAATCATAAATTTTCATCTGTGTCAGCTTGATTTAGCAAGCAATTAACTTTTTCTGAAAATATGCCTGAGGATTATCAAGTACAACCCTCTAGGAGAATCCTGGAGAAGCTGTGCAGTAACTACAACATGAACATAGTTTCGAGAACACAGTACTCAAAAGGCATGAGGTCCTATGTGTGCTGCGTGACTTACCTCAGCATCTATAACATCCGTGATGTATCTAGGGGTCAGCAGGGGCATCCGGACATACTGGAGCAGGTCAGGCAGGGATTCTTCTCGCTCCTTCTTGGCATGCTTCACCCAGTTGATGACAGCCTCAAAGACAGGCTCTTCAGAGTCCACCTGTGAATGCATAAGGGCACATGGAGCTCTGCTTATCCAGTAAGCTCATGCTCACAGGCACTCAGTGCTTCCCGGCCTGCTCACGCCTCACTCCCACGGCCATTAGTCCCAGTCTTCCAGAAACAGATGCAGGCTCTTGGGGAAGTGGTCTTTTCAGATGTTTTGTCAGCACAGTTCAAGAAAAGAATTAGTCAGTGGGTAAAAATGGTTCCTAAAATGGTTAATACCTATCACATATTATGCTTTACTTTACAATCGTTTATCATGCATGAATTTCCCCGCTTGGGAACTGGTTGCTCTATTCAAACCTGATACTGAAAGGACTCTTACTCCTAAGTACTGTCTAATCACCATCAGCCAGGCTCGCCTACCTCTTCAGCCAAGTCTGTCTGTGAAGCAGTCCCGGGAATACTGCTATTTTCACATTGTAGTCGGTCAGCATTTAAGCAACTACCATATATGAAGCACTATGTTATTTGTGATGATAAACACAGGAGGGCTTCAAAAAGTCTGTGGAAAAATTTTATTGTCTTTTAATTCCTGTTTTTCCCCCATGAACTTTTGGAAGCCTTCTTGAATGGGGAATAGGTCTCAGCTTACAGGCGAGAAACTGGGAAAGGTGAGAGCCCCCCCAAGACGCTGACTTGATACACTGGGAAGGAACCCTGGCAGTGTAGCGGTTACTCTCTAAGTGGCCAACCACAAGGTCAGCGTCTAAAACCATGAGTGGCTCCTCGGGAGAAAGAGGCGGCTTTCTACTTCCTTAAAAAGTCGGTCTTAGAAACCCACAGGGGCAGTTCTACCCTGCTCAATAGGTCACAGTGAGTCAGTCGGCCCAGACTCGATGGCAGTGGGTTTGGTTTGGTTTCTTTATTCCACTGAGAGAAGACAATATGTGGTAACACTTAGGACCTCCCCAAGACAGACACCTCAGTCAGGCTCCTGTGTTCGGTCAACCAGCTCATACATAGAGCCTATCTTTTTTGAGAGATCATTTTAGTGTCTGATTGTAACTAGAGAAAGAAACTATCTTCATGAACTTTTTCTAAGAACCGTGGTATTCTAGAAATGCAGATAATGATTCAGAAAAGTTCATCTATTCCACAGATTTACTGATTTACCGGTAAGTGCTAGGTTTATACAATGGTGAATAAATCAAACAGGATCCTTTCTTTTAAGAAGTTCGTAGTTATAAAATCAGAAAAACATCCCACTGTCTCAATCTACACACACATACTATACAGAAAAGAACAAAAACTCCTGAGATTTCTCATGTAGACTGGAGGGCCAGTGAAGGGTTTTCCTGAAGAAGCAATAAACGGACAGGTGCTATGTGGGCAGCAGTAGGCAGGGAGAGTGAAAGGCAGACAGAAAGCACATGGTAAGACCCGAGGGCTGCACACTGCAGTGTGGTAGCCATCGGTCACATTGAGTGATTTACCATGAAATTAACTACCAGTTCCATTGACCAACAGCTCTAGCTACATTTCAAGTGCTCAAGAGCTACCAAATTGGGCAATGTAGGTGTAGATCATTTCCATCTCCACAGAAGTGTCCTACTGGATAGCACTGCCACACCGCAGACAAGAACGGCAGCGTGAAAACAACGAGAGAGGGCAAGCATAGTGGAAGGAAGGAGGGAGGAGGGGAACGAGCGGCAAAAGACGCAGCCAGAGTTAAGCAGCAGCCAGATTACAGAGGGCAGTGCAAGGCCAGAGTTTACTCCGATGGCAACTAAAACCATTACAGGATTTCCAGCAGGCTAGTGACATGAACAGAATTTTATTTTGTACAGATTCCCCTGTCATTGCTAGAACAGTCTGGAAGGGTAGAGAATTGGGAGACAGTTAGGAGGACACTCTGGTACACTAGGCAAGAGGAGATGGAGCTTTGCTTAGTTCTGGTGGTTGTGAGACAGGAGGAGATGCACTGGAGAAGTAAAACTAGCCTTCCTTAATGACGGCTGGGATGCAGGGGAAGGGCAGAAAGGAACCCACGATATTTTTAATAGCTTCTTTTAAAGGATGACAGGCTGTAAGTTCTAAGCAGCTGCACACTAGACTCTACTGTCTTCTAGCTTTAAACATAATTTATCAACTTAAAAAATCAGTGTTAAAATCATGAGCATGGGCCCTTGGTCTAACTGAAGACAATAAATTGTTATTGCTGAGAAACAAGCTAGACTCAGATGGAAAAATCTATAATATGTGTAATTATGGGGAAAATGAATTTTTTTCCATACACAAAATCTCAAGGTGAATTTTCTCATGGATTTAATACTCAGAACATTTCTATGTACTAAGTACTAATACCAGGGGACTTCAAAAAGCTAGTGAAACAATTTCACTATCTTTTCATTCTGACAGCTTGTGAATTTTTTTTTTGTAAGTGATGTTTTTAAGGAAAAATTTTAAAAGCTACATTTTTAAACTGAATTTAAAATTTAAATTATTTTTCTAGACAAAGCATTCCTCCTACTTTTTTTTTTTACATTTATGGCTTTTATTATGTTGAGAAATTTCCCTTCTATACCTATTTTTCCTTTCTTTTTTAAAATTAAATACTTTTATTGGGGGGGGGGTCTTATGTCTCTTACCATAATCCATACATTCATTCAATGTGTCAAGCACATTTGCACACATGTTGCCATCATTTTCAAACCATTCTGTTCCCACTTGAGCCCCTGATATCAGCTCCCCATTTCTCCCCCCACCCGCCCTCCCTCACGAACCCTTGATAAATTATAATTTTCATATCTTTCATTGTCCTCCATCACCTCTCACCCACTTTTCCGTTGTTTGTCCCCCTGAGACGGGGTTCTAGGTTGATCCTTGTGATCGATTCCCACTTACTCCCCCCATCCTCCTGGTATCTCTACTCTCATTGTTGGCCCTGGGGGGGGGGGGGGGAGTTATCTATCCTGGATTCCCTGTGTTGTGGGCTCTTGTCTGTAGCAGTGTGCATGTTCTGGTCTAATACGATTTGTAAGGTAGGATTGAGGTCATGATAGTGGGGGAAGGAAGCAACAAAGAACTAGAGGAAAGTTGTGTTTCATCGGTGCTACACTGCACCCTGACTGGCTCATTTCTTCCCTGTGACCACTCTGTAGGGGGATGTCCAATTGTCTGTAGATGGGCATTGGGTCTCTACTCCATGCCCCACTCCACGCCCCCCTCCCCACCATTCACCTTGGGTATGATTTTGTTCTGGGTCTTAGTTGCCTGGGCTCGTGAATTTTTGAAGCCCCCTAGTACTGTCCGCATTTACAGAAGTAGCAACTGAGCATTAGTGGTTAGGTATCTTATCCAATGTTACCCAGCCAAGACACAGAGCATATATTAGTAATCAAACACACTACTTCCCATTGTTTTAAATAAGCAGCAGCATTAGTTAGCACGTGGAGACAGGTCTGGCTCCTTTTTTATAGCAGGATTGTAGAGCAGGAAAAACTGTCATCTACTGTTTCCCCCCAGGAAAAAACGGCCCGTTTTGACAGACACAGGAGACCATACAAGCGTTCCCAAGTGCTTCTCGTCTCGGCTTCTGAATAAAGCAGTTAGTTAGTGGTTCTCGCTGTCCCCTTTGACTTTATTATACATTAGTCTGAAGTGACTTCTGTTGGCCATTTCCTTATTTGGCCAATCGGAAACCAAGTGAGTATAGGTGATCAGCTCAGAGTTTAGGGATAACGAGAATACTGTGAAGCCAGGATGGCTGACTCTAAATGTGAAGCCTGGCTCTACCATAACTAGCTGTGGCATGGTGGGTAACTTGTAAGCCTCAGTTTCTTTCTCTGACAGATACAGACAGTTGTGAGAATTAGAAAAACAAACAAACAAAACTACAAAATACCCCAAATGGTGCCACTGGAGTGTAAGTTCCAGGGTACAAGGATTTAAAAGTATGTTTTGTTCATTATTTTAACTCCACCCTGGACTTGTTTGGGCACATAGTAAGTACTCAATATATAATTGATAAATGAACCACTAGTAAGTGCCAAGTTAAGTGCTAGCTATTTTTAAATTATGTACAATGAGCTTCAAGTCACAGTATACATTTTATTCACTATATTTTTCAGTATGTGGGTTAATCAAGAAAAATCAAGGTATTTTTATGAATCCCCAGTTTTCAAGTATAAAGACTGTGTACTCTAGCTAGGACTGGCCTTTCATGACACAGACACTAGCCCAGATCGTGAGGGCGAGACAAAGACTAGAAATAGAATACTTGACTCAGCACCATTTGAAAAAGCAGCTTCTCTGAGTTGATATGAAACTGCTTACCAAGCTAGAAGATAAATTCCTTTTTAAATGAAACAGTGTCACTGATGAGCTCTAATAAATTTTCCCTCAGAAAAGTCACCCAGGAAGGGTGTAAAGAGAAATTTGGCTCAAATCTGATGAGATGAATGAGAATTTCTATATATATATATGTGAAATGTATTTCAGACTTGTTATCTACTAGTAATGGAGGTATTGTGTGCTAGGTGTTGACTGCTGAGCAAAGGCTAGCAGCTCAAACCTATCAGTCACATCACAGGAGAAAGATGAGTCTGTTTACTCCCATAAAGATTTTTAGTTTCAGAAGTCCAATATAGGGTTTCTATGAAATGGAATTGACTCAATAGCAGAGGACTGGGTTTGGTTTAATCTATTAATAATATCTAGTTTCTGCAAAATAACTTGATTTACAAGAGTATATTTATATGATAGGATTTCTTTAAATTCCTCCTCAAAGACAGCATATTAATCAAGTTTTGATGCTTTCCACTATATCCCTTGTCTAAACTGAGGAACACATATGCCTCTAGAAATTCACTAATTTATAATACCTTCTTTATTATTGAGGAGAGAGAAAAGCAGCAAATTCCTAGTCTTAGAAAATTAAGTGTTCCTTAACAGGGGGAAATAAAACTCAATACTTGGCTCTACTAGGTAGCTCCTACAAACTACCAATTAAATAACTGAGACACTAGAGATCAAAAGCAAATGACAGGCCTATATTGGACTTCTCACTACATTTCTTAGTCTAATATACAGTGTCCAAGTGCAATAAAAATCCTTCCACACTAATCCACACTAATGGTAGTATAATTCAGAAGGATTCATACTTAAAAAAAATACCAAACAATTCAAGTTTTAACAAATTAAATAATAAAACACCAAATATGAAAATACACAAACATAATAAAACTACCCGAAATGATGAAATAATGCATGGAAGCCTAGAATTAGATGGGGTTTTATAGTCAGACTTTTCAACATATTTTAAAAAATGATAATCTGAAGATTGTGAAAATTTGAGAGCTATTGTGGTTTAGGAAAGTGCTGTTAAGTCCATTCCAACTTTGAGTGTCCTGCAGTTCCCATTCTTTACAACGTTATCCATAGTCTGTTAGGATCCACTCAGTTGGCGCCTCAGCAGTCAGTAAACACACGTCAACATCTTTCTGGTGTTCTCTGCTTTCAGCCAAGATCCATCTGATGTCAGCAACGATCTCTTGATCCCCCATCCACCTCTGACTTCTGGCAGCTCCCTGTCAATGTACTTCTACAATTTTTGTTGGATGATCTTCAGCAAAATTTTACTTGCATGAGATACTAATGCTATTGTTCTATAATTTTCGCATTCTGTTGGGCCACCTTTCTTTGGAATGGGAACAAATGGATCTTCTAGTCAGTTGACCAGTATGCCAAATTTCTTGGCATAGGCAAGTGTGTCTGTTGCTTATCAGCTTGCTGATGAAACAGTTCAACTGACATTCTGCGGATTCCTGGAGACTTGTTCTTTTGCTAATACATCCAGTGCAGCTTGGACTTCTTCCTTCTTGATCATATGCTACCACTTGAAACGGCTGACTGTTGAATAGTTCTTTTTGGTTCAGTGACCCTGTGTATTTCTTTCATCTTCTTTTGACGTTTCTGGCACTACTTCATACTGTATTTTCAAAATTTGAGAGAAACTAACCCCTTTTCAGTCATAGCTATCTGCTCTCTGCTGTGGTTATGCTATAGTTACAAAGCTGATGCCTGCCCATCAGCTAGAGGCACATCTAGATATCGATTAAGGGAATTTCAAAATAAAGCATTAGTCATACACATAAAAGCAGTAGCTAAACCAGACCCATTGCTTTTGAACAGGTAGGGGTAAGCCTCTTGCTGGCTGAGTCACTGAACGCTAGCCTGGGCGCGCAAGGGTGGTTCCCCTCTGCTAGGGGGAAGGGCTCCTCCTGTGACATCCAGTCACATGCTCTGTCTTCCCACCCTCCTTCCACCAGCCGGGCGCATCCCATCCAGCTCCTGCTGACACAGATCCTCTCCTCTCCTATCCCTTCCTTTTGATCTTCCAGAGGCCTATTTTTCTTTTTTCTCTTACCTCCTAACCGTGCACAGCCGTTGCTGTTGCTCTATCATAATCTATTATGATGTTTTACTTATACGAGGAGGCTTCCTAAAGTTTGTGGAAAAATTCCAGATCTTTTCATCCATTTTTCCAGGAGCTTTTGGAAGCACCCTTGTATGTCTGTCTCTACTACTACAGCATGAACTCTTGAAACAGAAGCCATCTTACTCATTTTAAAATCTATCTGCTTCCATCCCCCCACCCCCCTGCTTATTCCACACTGGTAAAAAGTGCTTCTTAACCACTGGGGTCAAATAGTTCATGAAGAAAACGGCTTATGCCTTCCCTGTAAATATGCAATTTGGCATTCAATTTCAGGAGAGTTAGTGAAACATTTGGAGCCAATACGGACCCTTGATTAAGAAGCCCTGCTAGAAGTTATAGTTAAAATTTAACATCTTACTTGTTCTCCCTTTTGGCCCATTTTAAATTTGTTCTAGTTTTTATGACTTTCTACTTTTTTACTGTTTTCTCTTTATCCTCAAGTATGAAATAAGGCTGTATTATCATGTTGACAGACATACCAATATACAATACAGTTTGATAATGAAGCACATGTAAATTTAGTAAAGAACACACCAACATCACACTGATTGGTTATGTGTAGACAGCAGAGTGGGGGAATCAGTAGCTATCATTTGAATTTAGGGATGGAGCAGCACCCTCTCAGAGGAACCACATCAATGAGCAAATCATCTATAATGTAAAACAATATGAATACAGACAAGTTAGTGATCATACTGACTTTCTTACTTTTGCTAAGCCATTGTATTTTCCTCACATTCAATACAAAGAAACATAATACGAAAAAAAATGTTTTCATCATTCACAATAAAAGGGTCTGCTTCCTTTTGCAGGCCTGGGCATATTGACCAAAGGGAGCACTTGATGGTTCACCGGCTCATTGTATCATTTCGATGCTGACTCAGAGAAGAGACTCTCCTGTACATTTGGTGACAGAACTGAACTCCACAGGAACCGTGGCAGATGGAGCCATGTTTTGGTGGTGTTCCCAGATCTCACAAAATAATACCCTAGACAAGGAACTATACAACCAGTCTGTCCAGAAATTGCATGTCTAGGCTCTTCCTTTTAGTAGCAGGTAGGAAAGAGGGCCTTTCTTGGATATACAGATACAAGTATTCCTGTGGGCTAGAGATTGCTCAGTTGACAGTGTCTGCACAATGAAGACAAGGTCGACGTCCAGACTGCTATCTGCTTACGAAGCTTCCACAGCGTGTCTCAATGCTTCAAATAAAGGAAGGTGTTCCTTTTCTAGGCTGACCATTAGTCCTCTGTTGGCCTGCTGCTTGCTATGAAACTCACCGCCCAAGGAAAACGATTAAATTGAACCACCTGGTAGGGGTTATAGTAACAGGTGATACTTTTTGTGCTTTGAGAGACCAAGCTTGCGGCCTTGGTCTGTTGCAAGAGCAAAAGTAGGAAGAAGCCAGGTCTCAGCGCATGCTCTGGAGCATTTAATAACAGCCACTTTAATAACAGCCACCCCAGCTCGATCAGACACAATGACCGCATGGAGTCCTTCAAGTTGGTGATTTTTTACAGCAATCTCTTTAGGTCATCCGCCATGATGAACCCCCTTTTCTTTTTTTGTTTGTTTGTTGATCTGTTAGGAATGTTTTCTAGTCCACTCTTTTTTTTTTTTAAACCATTTTATTAGGGGCTCATACAACTGTTATCGTAATCCATACACACATCAGTTGTGTAAAGCGCATTTGTACATCATTCTCAAAACATTTTCTCTCCACTTAAACCCCCGACATTAGGTCCTTATTTTTCCCCTCCCTCCCTGCTCCCCTCTCCCTCATGAGCCCTTGATAGTTTATAAATTGGTATTTTGTCATTTCTTGCCCTGTCCGACATAACCCTTCACCCACTTTTCGGTTGTTTGTCCCCCGGGGAGGAGGTCACATATAGTTCCTTGTAATTGGTTCCCTTTCCTACCCACTCTCCCTCTACCCTCCCAGTATCGCCTCTCACACCACTGGTCCTGTTGGGCTCATCCGCCCTGGATTCCCTGTATTTTCAGTTCCGATGAACCCCCTTTTCATGCAGATCAATCTCCGATCCTGGGTTTTCACACCCGGGGACACTCGGCTGGCACTTCAGGGGCAGCCTCAGACACAGATTCCTCTGCAAACAGCCATCACATGACTTATAACCTCATTTGCTCTTCAGGAAGCACTTCCAAGTGCCCCGAATGCCCTATTGATGGTTTGGGGGTGTTTTCCTTTATACAAAATTCAGGAGAGGTAAATCTATACAGATAATAACTGGATGAACAGTTTCTTAGAGTTATGGCAGGAGTGGTTGGGGAAATGGGGAGCTAATAATGAGTACAAGAATGAAGAAAATGGTTTAAATTGATTACAGTGAGGATTGCACAATCTTTTAAATATTTTAAACCATGAAATGGTTTAAATGAATTGCATGACATGTGAATTATATGTCAATAAAAATGCTAAAGTTAGAAAGAAAAAGGAAAAAAGAAACCCTGCCAGAGACGTAGCAACTCCATCCAGCTTTGCAAATTTTTTAATGGCCCATTCAGTCGTAAAGCCCAATCTGTACCTGAATTTCATCACACTTGATTAGCTTTTCCACTTCTCCTTGACTTAGAAGAATGAATTCTTCATGCTGCACCACTTCCGGGAAATGCTTCTGGCTAAAGACCTCAGCAGCTTGCATCAGGTCAACACAGTTGTGAGTTTCGGCAAAATCCCTGATACCCAGGCAATTCGAAGGGTCCAACTGACTTTCTAAGAACTCACAGCAGGCTTGTTTCACACCTAGGACAAACACAGATAGATAGTGAATACTTCAGGCTACGTGTCAGGTATTGAACTGGTCCATCTTCTCAGATCCAAACATTTCCCCAACACTTTGATCATATCAAAGGAAGCCTGCCTGAACACCTATGAACTAGGGTAGAAATCTTATGCTTAAGGAATTCAAGTCCTTTTTCTGTTTTATATGCTACGTGATCTTTAGCAAGGCCTGTATGGTGGGCCTTTGCTTTATTTATAAAATGACTACAGCAAGACCTATTGCTCTTTCAAGAACACCAGCACAATTAAATAGCGACCCTTCGTGGCACTGTGGTAACGTGCTCCTCTGGTAAGCAAAGGAGCCACCAGCTGCTCTGTGGAGAAAGACAGCAGTCTGCCTCCGTCAAGACGACGGCCTTGGACACCCTGCGGGCAGTTCCACTCCGTCCTTCACGGCCACTAAGCGTGGAATCGACTTGATAGTTATGGGTTTGGTTTTGTGCGTAATTAAGCAAAATAGCCTATTCCCTCTTGGGAATCAAGCTTAAAAACCCAATTACTAATTCAGTATAAAGTACCTAATCTTACTCTATGTGGAAATTTGACCTCAGACTCTAGTAAAGGGAAAATGAAGGTACTAATCATCTCATGTTTCTCTAATGGAAACATTTAGGGTATAAACAATTTCCTAAATGTACATGAATACAAATGTTTCTGGTTTAACCATGTACTGAAAACTGAACATGTTTCAATCATGCATATAGAACTGATACTAACCAAACCTGGCAATTAAGAAAGAGGACCGGGAGGGTGCAGTATAGCACCAATGAAACATACAACTTTCCTCTAGTTCTTTAATGCTTCCTCCCCACCCCCACTATCATGACCCCAAATCCAGCTAGACCAGAGGATGTACACTGGTACAGATCAGAGCTGGAAACACAGGGAATCCAGGACGGATAAACTCCTCAGGACCAATATTGAGAGTAGCAATACCAGGAAGGGAAGGGGAAGGTGGTGGGGGAAAGGGAGAACTGATCACAATGATCTACATATACCCTCTCCCTGAGGGATGGATGACAGAAAAGTGGGTGAAGAGAGACATCGGACAGTGTAAGACATAAAAAAAAAATAATATAGTAATTTATAAATTATCAAGGGTTCCTGAGGGAGGGAGGGAGGGAG